ACAATTGTAGTACACATTGCTGCCTATCATAAACACTGAGCTTTGGAGGATGTTCCAGGTACCAAAAGAGCAGGACTTACAGCCTCAGATAAGGCCAGGAAAGACAGGGAGGCCTGCTAGGTACTCCTGATGAACTCAGCTCACAATCTCTCTTTTTATATATATCGAATTCTTCCTTTTGTTTATATCTGATGTGCCCTTTTAGTTATGTTCGAGTGAGATGCAGAATTATTGCTCTAATAACACAATCATACTCTGCAAATTAGACCGTTATCAATATTTTGCAATAGATGCTTGACATGAAAAGTGTTTGGGTAGATGGGGAAATTCCCATTGGCAAATGTAATGAGGAAATACCCTATGATACCCTACCCTATGATAATGTGGATATATTATCAATTATAATTTATACTTGTAAATTTTGAATTGTTGTGAAAATTGTTTAAAAGTTTTTTTTGGCCGGGCACCATGGCTCACACCTGTAATCCCAGCACTTTGGGAGGCCGAGGCGGGCAGATCACGAGGTCAGGAGATTGAGACCATCCTGGCTAACACGGTGAAACCCTGTCTCTACTAAAAATACAAAAAATTAGCCGGGCATGGTGGTAGGCGCCTGTAGTCCCAGCTACTCAGGAGGCTGAGGCAGGAGAATGGCGTGAACCCGGGAGGCAGAGCTTGCAGTGAGCGGAGATTGCGCCACTGCACTCCAGCCTGCAGCCTGGGCGACACAGTGAGACTCCATCTCAAAAAACAAACAAAAAAAGTTTTTTTTTTTTATCACCTACTTGTATGAACTAAGTTCTCATCAATAATGACCACCAAGAATTTGAAGAGATCACTGTTAAACTGTCTCATTCAAGAACTGCATGCAGTCATTTCAATAATAAAATCCTATATAAAAAAAGTTATGTTTAGAGAAGCAATGTCAGGTTTTTCATTAAATTTTTAGACAACTTTATTTGGAAACGTATACAAATTCAGTATTTAGTGTCATCCTTAATATGTTTATTTTCTCATTAAAAGTAAGTAATATAAAGAAAACCATTTTTTTTCACCAAGTCCCATGTAATTAGTTGCCTCCAAATCCCCTTTAATTTATCCCTGTGTGCTGTACAAGTATTATTTCTATGGATGTCATGATGTGGAAAAAAAAGGTAAAGAACCACCCCTTTAACATTTAGATCAGGATTCTTCACCTGGGTTCCTTGATAGGTTTTAGTAGGTATGAGAAATATGCAAGTACATCTTTCTGGAGAGAAGGTCAATAGTTTTCATCGGTTCTCAAAGCTTAAGAAGCAGCTAACCTCAGAGATTTCAAGCTCCCCTATAATTTCACCCCAGAAGAAGTATTGATACAAGTTAAGGGTTAAATGGACTCCAGTGGTACAACCAGGCCTCCAGCATCATAGGTGGGAAGAGTGAAAGTGCTATAAATAGAACTAGGAGGGCTTTTGTATCTTTGGCTCCCTCTTTTGGGAATCCTGCTCTTGACCTCTCTCTCCTCAAATTCAGCCAGAATAGTAAGAGGATCCTAGGATCTTCACTCTATTAGAAGATACCTCCTCTCTCAGTTCACCAGAAGACCTAGCAGGAACCAGGGTGGAGCCTAGGAAAATTAGGTATAAATGGGGCACAGAGCCTAGATTCATCAAATGCTTACTGTGGTCCAGCTCTGTTCACAAAGTGACTGTACTGGGATCTGCAGACAAAGCCTGAAAGCCAATATCATAAAGACCACATTTGCCCAGACCTTCTCTGCTTTGTTTCTATAGAACTTTGTATGTATATAATCTTCTCCTACATTTCTACATACCTCCTTTCGTGCCTAGCAGAGGTGACAGAAGCCATGGTACCACTAAACTACGCTCTAATTATTTGTTGATGTGTTTTCCCCTACTAATTGGCTTTGAGCCCCTAAGAGGTAGATAAACATTTCTTGTTCTTAAAGCAGTGTCTAGTATACGATACACATTCAAAAAATATTTTCTCAATTATTAGTAAATAAATTAATGAACATGCACCAATAATTTCCAAATCTTAGTTTCTTTAAAAGGTATATACCAGGAAGAAATATTTCCCCTGAAAATTAATAAATGAACTTCCTTATACAATGTGAATTTTGTTATCTCATAATTCTTGATCAGGATTTTATCACCTTAGGTATGTGGAACAAAAATGTTCCACACTTACCCACAGATGAAACATGTCTTGACCACTAATCTACTTCTACTATTAAGAAAAAGAATGATGGTCGGGCGCGGGGGCTCACGCCTGTAATCCCAGCATTTTGGGAGGCCAAGGCAGGCGGATCATCTGAGGTCAGAAGTTCAAGAACAGCCTGACCAACATGGTGAAACCCCCGTCTCTACTAAAAAGACATAAAATTAGCCGGGCATGGTGGTGCATGCCTATAATCCCAGCTACTCAGGAGGCTGAGACAGGAGAACAGCTTGAACCAGGGTGGCGGAGGTTGCAGTGAGCTGAGATTATGCCATTGCACTCCAGCCTGCACAACAAGAGCGAAACTCCATATCAAAAAAAAAAAAAAGGCCGGGCGCAGTGGCTCACGCCTGTAATCCTAACACTTTGGGAGGCTGAGGTGGGCAGATCACTTAAGGACAGGTGTTTGAGACCAGCCTGGCCAATACAAAAACTAGCCAGGTGTGGTGGTGGGCCCCTGTAATCCCAGCTACTCGGGAGGCTGAGGCAGCAGAATTTCTTGAACCCAGGAGGTGGAGGTTGCAGTGAGCCGAGATTGCACCACTGCACTCCAGCCTGGGCGGCAAAGGGAGACTCTGTCTCAAAAAAAAAAAAAAAAAAAGTTATCTTAATTACATAGAGGGCTTTACAGTTTATACTGCACTTTACCATACATTATCTCAAGAATCCTGTCAGTTAGGGTTCCATTGTAGAGATAAAGGAATTAACGCTCAAAAAGTTCAAGTCATTTGCATAAGGTTTTAGAGCTGGAACTAGAAACCAGGTCTTCTGATTCCAATGGTAGTGCTTTCTCACTGCAAGGTTCATGGACTCAAGTCCTACATTTTCCAAGAGAATTTCTTAAGAGTATGTTACCATGAAAAAGTCGATCATCATTGTTGCCGTCCCTGAGTCAGAGAATCAACATACAAGTACTAAGACCTACAGATTTGAGTATTACTTTTTCTAGAATGATACTTTGGTTCATAAAGCACATATATTTCATTTATTTGAGTTCATTCAGCTTCTAGCTATGTGTATTTCTTGGCTGTGTATCTAGTTTCCTGTTTGGTCTCCCATGCATTGGTTCAAAGTTCTTACTTCTGAACCTTGCCTTCTCTTTTCCTGTTTACTACGGAGCTCTGGGAAAAACACAGTCAGATTGTTTAATCTGTGAACCATACATCTTTGTTTAATTTTGCCTCACAGGCACTCCTGATCACCACCAGGGGGCAAAAGCCTACCAGCTGGCTTCTCTGCACTACACTCTGTATAGGACTGTATAATACAGGGACCCTCAGTGTCTGATTCTTGATGGAACCTCCCTGCTAATTATTTCAACCACAGGGCCCCAGGGAGAGAACAAAGGCTCAGCACAGAGGACTCTTGTGGCATTTAACCGTACAGCAGCCAGAAAGAGCTCATGACAGCCCTGTCAGTTTAAAAGGAGCAATGAGATCCAAGAGTGTTTGAGTGACAAACAGGAGGGGGTGGGTTTTAATAACTGCAAACTCCCGAGTGTGTGTGTTTTCTACAGCTTTGATATGTACGGTGGTATTTACCAGCTCATCCACTCAAACTGAGAAACAGCCTTGTCAACTCTCTTTCTTTGTGTAAATAATCAGTGATATTTGCATTGTGCGATTTTTTTTTCTTTTTAATCTTGATTTTCCATTACATTCTTTGCTTATGTTCTGCAAAGAGTTTACCTCTGAGAAAATCATTCCCTTAAAATATCTTTTAATCTTCACTTTTACATAGGTCTATGAAATAATGACATTTAGAGACGAAGGAGAAGAAAGCTTAACGAGCAAATCCTGTTTAATTAAGAGAATGTCTTCACAGCAGGAGGCAAGTGAGAGGTCAATAGCAGGCTGGACCCTCACAACTCTTCGAGCCAGGCTTCCACGGACTCCCAGGCGCGCTCAGCTTCTCTTCTCAGGAATAATGAATAAGTCTTTAGACAGGCAATAGAGGAAGCATGAGGGTACCACAAACCCTTCCAGGGTATCAAAAGGAAAATGGTTTTCTTTCCAGAAGTCTCATCATAAAACATGGACGGAAGGGTGGGAAAGTTGAGAAAAAGCCCCCGAGAACCGGGGCGAAGGGGGTAAACTGGTCCAGCTCAGTCAGTCCTGTCTGCGCCCAGTGAGAGGGTCTGAAACTCCGCGGAGCCCTTTCTCACTTTGCTTCAGGATTTTCATCTCAGCTGCTTTTTTCTAAGGTTGGTTAAGCTGTGCGCCGCCCCACCTCATAAAATGGTTGTCTCCCAGGAGTGAAGACTCCAGCGGCCCCCTCACTCGACTGAGACCCCTCACCCGGCTGGCTCCCCTCGGCCCCTTCCCCCACCCCACTCCACAGCACCCAGCGCTGGCAAATCGCGCGATTCCAGTGCAAAGGAGGAAACCCAGGAGGGTGCGGCGGCCCGAGGCGCACGCACTTGGCCAGCTTCCGGCAACTCAAGGGTTACGACCAGGCGGCGGCGCGCGCCGAGGGGAGAGGCGGTAGCTGACAGGTGGCGCCTGCGCACTGGGAGCGCTCATTGTGCCCCGCAGCTGCCGAACCGCCCGCCCGCCGCCCGTTCGGCGCGTCAGTCGGCGAGAGTCTGGTGGTGGGTGCGGAGTCTGCGGCCGTTCCCGCGGCCTCCTCCTCCTCCCCGTTCCCTTCATCCCCACCCCGCACCCCTTTCCCCATCCCGGCTCCGTCACCCTCCCGCCCCCCACACTCAGGACAAGAATGCCCTGCCCGGAACAACCCAGCAGCGCCTAGATGGCTTTGGTCACGGTCCAGCGGTCACCTACCCCCAGCACCACCTCCAGCCCCTGCGCCTCGGTGAGTCCTTCCTGGCGGCCGCTCCGCTTGCTTCTGTCACTGCGGCTCCGCTTTGCCTCAGCGGGTCCCGCCGAACGCCACTGCGCACGCGCCGCGCCGCTTCCCAGGCCTTGGCAGTCGGCTGCCGCGAACCCCCCACACCCCCATCTTAAAGACTAGCAGCAGGAACTACAAGACGTTGATTTTTGCCCCCATCACCCTGAGCACCTAGCTCCTCACAGTCCTCGCCCTGAAATCCCCTGTGGCATGCCTCCCTATGGCTTGAGCACTTCCTTTTGGTAATGAGTCATTCTTGCTTTTCACCCTCCCCCTTCTTTTACCCTCTGTTGCTCTGCGGCAGGGAGGGGACCGTGAGCCTCCTGCGTTGCCCCTTACCCACACCCACATCTCTTACCCACACCATTTCATAGACCCGTTCAGTATTTGCACACTGCACACCCTTCTTCGGACTCGCCAGGGTGTGTGCCTTCCCTTAGTCACTTGCTGGCTTTCTTGTGCTCTGTACTGTTCAGGCGTTGAACTGCCCAACGGTAGTTACTTCTTGGTTTCTTCCTCCTGCCCCCCCACCCCAAAGGGTGGCAATGATCTCTATTTCGTGGACCTCTTAACCTTTCCTTTATGAGGTCCTGAAGCATCTGGTGCTGCTTGGTGATCAGTGCCAAATTATTTCCATCTTACAGATATTTATGCCTTACACTCATTGCTCATGATCATTCTCGTTATAAGGTCGTGTTTGTATGACTCGTTACCTCAGATGCCTATGCCAATAAAGCATGCTCTCAGAAGGAGAATACCCAGTAACCAGCCTTTCCCCGCTGGGCCCGTCTTTGCCTTCTCTCCTCTCACCACCCCCACTCTTTTACACTCCATTCTCTTAGGCTTCGTTTTTGAAAATATTTATTTTTAAAAACAATATATTGCACCAGTGGGGCGAATGGGCTTTAAAAAACAAACACCCAGATGTTTTAGAGAGAAATAGACTGAATGAAAATGTGAGCAACTGGGAAAACCACCTTGAACTACTTGCAGAACTGTAATTTTAAAAACTGTTGGTGGATTTAGTAGTATCAAGTTGCAAAAAAAGGTATTTAATAAACACTGTACCACTCTCCATTGTAACAAAAATCAGTCAGGTTACTCTTAATATTTGTATGTTAACTGAGGTGTGAGCTTTGATATCCTGAAATTTGCTGGCTTGTCATTTCAGTATAATTTCCTGAATTTGAAAGTTTTGTTGTGTATGGTTGTGATTTCTTCTTTTCTGAGCTTTAATTGCATTTTGTGTGACCAAATTGACAACTATATCTTAATTCATTAAGTAATTTTATTTCAAAGGTTAACATATCTTGGGTTGTTTCAGAGAGCAGAACTGGGATTCTTGGTTCAGGGAGGCAGATTTCCAGTGATTGTAAGGAAGAATTTGTAACAGTGGAGTGCACTGCCTTGCAAAATAGTGAGTGCACATTGCTGGAAATATTCAAGCAAAGGCTGGAGAACATTTTGCCTGGGAGGTGATATAAAGAATTCCTGCAGTGGGGGACTTCTATTTCTAATCTAAGATTTTGTGATTTGAGAATACTTGTACTTCAAAGCTGGTAAAACATTTTAGGGTCATCTGAAGACAAATATCATAGGAATAAAAATTTAATATAGTTTATTCTTATGTGTAGTACTTTATGCTAGTTTTTGGAAAGTCATTAACATACCATCAAACCTTCTTAATTCACTCCACTAGGAAGCTCTTTGGTTTGTGGTTACTAGGCCTGATTTTGAATAAATTGATTGAAAGTTACTAGAGTCATACAAATAAACTGGAAATCAGTACTATAGTAACATTTATTTTCCTTGGGCATTGTTGAAAATAGTTTATGCTATGATAATATATGTATATCAAGTTGTCATCATACTAATTTACTTGAAGTGAATGATTAGTATACAGTAAGACCGTGTACACTTGATATGACTTCATTAGCCAAAACTTGAGTTACTTTCGAATCTTGAGGTATATTAATAGTCACTTTTGACATAGGTAATTAAATTGATCGCGTAATAAGCTCCATTGTTGAGCTGAATCACTAATATTTCTATATGTACTAGCCTGGTTATTTCAGTTGTTTATACTTGACCCTGTATGCAAAGGAATCCTAAGGCTGGTGTAACAATCAGCATTATTAGCATAACTAATAAGCCGGCTTCCTTTCCCTTTATATTGTCTCCCTTTTGGACTTCATCCAGAATTGTGTTCAGCTGAGTTGTTTCGAGGTCCTTGTACTCTAGCATTTGGCTGCTGTCTGACCTCCATATATTTTGCTGTTCTATCTCTTGCTGCATGAATAGGTTGGGTCGTTTGCTGTAAAATAGCAAAAAGAACCTAGAGAACCATGAAAGAAAAGATTTAATTTTGTGAGGCTGGAAATTTACATTTTTTAATTTATCACTTTGGGCACGCTGTTAATACTTTTTCACTATAGGATGCAGGGCATTTTAATACTGCCAGCTCTTTAGTGTTGTTTCATTAGGCATTAAACAATATGCTAGGTGTGAGTGACCATTGTAGATACTAAGATGTATAAGAAATTGACCCGTTCATCAGGATCTTGCAATCTGGGGGGCTGGGGCATTGGAGGAAGAACAAACATGAGGTAAGAGGGAAAAGAAGAAGGAGGGGAATGATACCGTAGGTATGTGAAGGGTTTGTAATGGCCATAAGTATTATCTGAATTCAGATTAAGATAAATTCACTAATGGCAATGTTAATAATAAGAGTAATAACAATATCTAACATTTCTTGGGTCCTCATCTATGCCAGGCATCATGTTAAGTGCTTTACATGAATTAATTCATTTACTTTACACAGTATGCCTTAGGGAAGTTGCTCTTATCCCCGTCTTAAAGATGAAGAAGCTGAGGCAAAGAGTTTTAAGGAATATACGCAGTGTCACTCAGCCAGTAAGTGACTGGAGTTATAATTCAAACCCAGACATGTCTAACTTTAGAATCTGCCATCTTTTCCTCCTTGGTGATGAAAAAGTATGCCTAGTAGGTGGCTCTCAAACTAGTTCTTGAAGGATGGATTGAATTTCTATAGGCCAAGAGAGAAGCTGTGAGGAAGAGAGTATTGCAAGTGAAGAGAAATTGTGTACGCCAAAACTTAGAGGCAGAAGAGTACAGGGCATATCTGAAGGAATTAAATAGACCAGTTTGAGGAAGGATTTGTTTGGGAGAGTAGTAAGAGATAAAGGTGAGGAGGCAGCTAGGATTGCACAGGGACTACTGAGCTTGGGAGTTTGAGTTTGAACTTGATGGAGAAGGTAATGAAGAGTCTGCTGAGGTTTTGAGTAGATATGATCACAGTGGTATTTTAAGTTTTTTTTTTTTTTTTTTTTTTTTATTCTGTCGCACTCTTGCACTGACGCTCAAGTTGAGTTGCAGTGGCTCGGCTTACTGCAATCTCCGCCTCTTGGGCTCAGGCGATCCTCCCACCTCAGCTTCCCCAGTAGCTGGGACTACAGGCACGCACCATCACGCCTGGCTAATTTTTGTTTT